ATATATATATATATATATATATATATATATATATTAATCTTAATATGTTTATATATTATCTTAATATGTTTATATAATTTACCTTAATATTAAGGTAAATTGAAGGTATTCTTTGAATTACTTCATTTTTTTACAAGTAATCTCGACAGTTGGCATAATCGGTTTCACTGCGCAAAACCACGAACAAGTGATTCACACTTTAGAATTTGCTATGTTCCGAAACTCATCGAGAAAGGTGTATTTCGACCTGTCTGCTGCCGAGTGGACGTGTTGGCATGTTTTGTAGTCCGTATAGACATAACGAATTTGAGTTTTTCATCATCGCGATGTGTCACATGCACGACGAATATTATCAGTGATAAATGCCGATGTATTTATCGAATTACACAAGCGACGTTTATCGTTAAGACGTAAAATGGCGTGGTTCGGTGACAGTTTATCCAATCTCTCCAGTTTAAAGGGACAGATAACAAATTTCACGAAGGGGGTTCTGTCCGAGGGTATTGTTGATGAAATAGGTGCGTATTAATGTTCTGGAAGCGTAATGCAATTCGGGAACTCGATATTTTTGCATAACGCGTAATTACTCCAATAAAGGGTTAGGTTACAGCTGTCAAATATGATTCTACTTTATCGAGCGTGAAATATTACCAACTGAGTTCGCATAATCAATCACGTGGTTGCACGGGACTGATTCGTTTCTCATAAAACTTTCTTAGCGGCAGCAATCAAAACAGTATACACTATTAATCAATATAAAAGAATTTATTTCTTTTGCAATTGTTAATTGACATATGAATTAAACGTACTAAAATGTAATTAAAAGCGAGACTTGACATTTTTTAAACAAATATTAAATATTAAATTTAAGAGCAACAATCGATACTTATTTTTTTTATTTTTATTGTTTTATTTCCTTTTTGGCTTTTTCCCGAGTAATTGTTTCAAGCTTTTTAATTGTCCTTTTTAGTTGTCTTTTATCGATATTTTAATGCTGATTTCGGTGTACAAAGTTTTTTTATCTAATTTAATTAAAAAATTAAAAATAATATAATTATTTTTTAATTCTCTCTAATATACAAATTAATATAATAGCTAGCTAGAATTGATAAAATTTCACGATTGTGTGAATTTTAATAAAGATTATTTCCAGATGAACGATCACAAGCGTTGAAGGAGGCAAATGAAAGATGCAGCCAACTGCAAGATCTACTCAGTTCGAAAGACGCAGAGGTGTGTGTATTTGTATTACATAAATTACCTCTATATAATCTAAATTTCTTTTTATATTTGAAAAAAATTACATATGTAACTAATATCGTCCTTGAAATATGAATTGAAAAATTAGTTTTCAATTTTTGTTATAAATATTTTATTTTATAAATCAGACCTCCCTGACTTTTTTATTATAAAATCAGACTATTTGATTACCAAAGAATCATACGTCAGTAAGATCCTACGTTAAATTATATAACTTCAAAGTTACATGATTACACACGCTGTTATATATTATACATGTACATAAGTTAGTATTTATAATTTTCTAATCTCTAGTTTTTTTTAGAGGCGCGCATTTTTTTTAAATTATTTTATATGCAACACAAAATTTTTGCAGTTGTAAAGAAAAAAAAAAACCGAGAATATTGATTAGAATGATTGATTAATCTATAATACTCGACACGCGGGTTTTGGTTTCCTTTCGATGATTCTCGCTGATAACCTTCGTGGATATATTTCCCACATCGAAAAAAAAAAAAAAGGTCGAACTCGATATCCGCACAGATGTCTGTTAACTCCGATAACGGGGAAGGGCTACATTGTGATTAGAAATTATTTTAACAGATGTCGCGTTCCCCAATAATCGCGAACGAGTGTAGAGCAAACACACCGCGTTCCCCATCTTATCCGTTATAACATTATACAATCACAGATCTTTTGAAGGATCAGACCAAGACGGCGATCGGCCGGATATCGGACCTCGAAAAAAAAAATATATATATATATATCTTTAGGCACCTCCGCAAGATGGAAAACTGATTGTGAGCTCGTCAAAGATATTTTCTGTCGATTGTAAAAGACCGTACGATTACCAGGCACTTTATATACCCACGTCGAGACGCTCTTTCAATGGCGGCGGACAGCCGAGGGAAGAGGGTGAGGGGTTTCGGCGGTACCTAGGGGTCATGCGAGATAACGCATCGAGAATCGTGGGAGGTGGGGGACCCGTTATCGCAGTGCAAACGTAAGATAAGAGCGGCAAATGTAAACGCTCATCGTACGTCCTGTATCCACGAGCGGCGCACCGTACCGGACTTCCTTCTCTCAGACTGTGCTTCCTAATATTTTAAGATCCGGAAAACGCGATCGTCCGTGAGAAAATCCAAAGCGGACAGCGACGAAAACTTTCCCGAGAATCTTGCGGACGAATTCCTTCTTGACCGCAAAATCGCAAATCGCTAATGCCGGTACTAAATAAAAAATGAAAACCGATAATACATAAATGGACTAAGATTGTTACGATGTGTAGTACACACAC